GCTCTTTTGGTCAGCTCCCTCTGTCGTTTAATTTTCATTTCGTTCTGTCCGTCCACGCTTCGTGCTCGCTCCCTCTGCGGCGAAGCAAACTAAACGAGAACGCAGAAATAGATAGCGACTAGACAGATGGGATAGAGTTAATTACATTAACAGAAATAGCGACTAGAAGACTGTAGGCGTAGCTGACACAGCATGCTGTGGTGAATCGTGGCCCCTGATACCATCAGTGCGCACGATGTTTAAGTAAAGATCTTACGTCGATTTCGTGCAGAGCACAGCTGGCCACACCCCAAGATTTTCAAGAAAAGGCGTGCTGTGTGCCGTCTTGCTTTTGGGTTCTCTGGCCCACCTTGTTTTTAAAGATATCTTTTGATCATCTCGGGTCCTCCCACCATTATCCCAACGATCTGGCCAAGTAGGACTAAACCAGATTTCCTGGTTCTCATATGTTTTCATGAACATTTCAAAGGCAATCTCTGGAAGGAATTTCTAAAACCTTCCGAGTTCAATCTGTTACCTGCATGGCTAAGAAGTCGCGATAGCTGATTATAGCTGATTTAGAAATAAACAGAATAACGATGAATAACACTTTAATACCAAATTAAAATGATGCCTTCTATGATGGCAGTTGTCTTTTCTGATGGCAGCATTAGACTAAGTTGCAGACGTTTCACGATATCTCAAACGAAAGGTAATTGACAATGGCCTAAACAGGTCTGATTCACTGATGATCTCGTCTTGCCTAGGGCCTATCAATCAATCCGGTTTTTCCTACATTCATGGCCATGTCGAATGGTGGTGTTTTTCATCATATCTGTTGAGTTGCCAAAAATCCGAGAATGGATTTAAACAGAAGACAGCGTTACCACATTACAGAGATTGCAATGCGAAATAGATCTTCTGACGTGGGAATCTTCAAGCCGGTGTACAAAGGCCATACCAAGGCCAGGCGATGCCAAGCGTCTCATTGGGCTCCTTCGCCTCTGTGGATTTCGCGGTAGCACGGAGCTGACTCAACTGCAAGGCTGGATCCTGGTCGCAACACAGCGCAACATGACTCAACCGGTGAGGTCCCGGATATTTTGTACATTGCGGTACAACATGGTACAACATGGTACAACAAACTACGAACTGATTTCATCTCAGCCTCTTACATCTAACGAATCTAGCTAAATTTAGAAGTTCTGACTGGTTCAGACTGTCCCTGGCTCGAGATGGTTGTTTGACTTGTTTGACTTGTTTGACTGATCTGTATTGATCTGTAAGGTCTGTGTACCAAAAGCAAGACTGTCGAGAGTGTTGCTAAAGCCTTGAAGGACCTGCACCTGCTGGGTGTGAGTACCAAACAGATTTCTTTCTCAACAAGGTTGCAAGATGTTGCAAGATGTTGCAAGTCACGGCTCACAGCAAGTCCATGAACTGCCGCTCTGGCATTCAATCATTCAGATTCATTCAGGATATTCAAGCGACTTATGCGACTTGCTGTCCTCACACTCTTCTATATCGGGGATCTCGGCGACTGATGGGATTACAGCAAGGACGGCTGCGAGGAAAAAGCTACGGAACCACCGTGTCATGGCTCTGAAGACGTTCCCAACGCCGCTGAGCGCTGTTTACAAAAGAGATTGAGACTGAAAAGGCTGCGAAAGACCAAGAATGTTGTCCATACCCTGGGTCACAACCGTAGGCACAAGAGCGAGGACAATCTCTTTGGCATATCCGGCCATATGCAGGTCTGTGCGAACCATCAAAGCGTCACAACCTGTAAAATTAGCTTGATATGGAAGCATTCTGGACATATATTGGACACGTATTCGATACCTGAATTGGGCTGAATTGATGCATTTCTTGTGCATGCTGCTGTTGCATGCTGTTGCGGCTATCGGTTGAGTAGTTTAAAATGGTGAAAGATTCGTGAAAGATGGTTGGCGTCGATACGTCGATGCCGGGCAGCTCTTGCTCTTCGACCTCTTCCAGGAGCCGGCCTGCGTCTGAGCGCCATCGAAGGGGGCGAATGAGTTCAATGAAGGTTCAACGTATCCAATGCATCCAACTCAAGAATCTCCTTTGATCGATCTTTCCAGATCGATGCTTGATCAGTAGATCGGCAAAAGATTGATAGTACTTTCGATATCACTCACATGAAATTGTATCACTTTGTATGTTGTAAATTTGGGAGCAAAGACATGCCATCTGGTGTCTCAGTGTCTCCGGCTCCCGCGGCTGCCTAAAACTTGTGGCTCTCGTGGCTGCACCCGTCGCCGCCGGCGCAAGCGCCAAAGGCCACCAGCCTAAGAGCATTCCAATCAGCTTGGCTGTAACTTTTCATCACTATCAATCACCTCACAGTTCATCAAACATGTTTTTTTATATATTCAAACATGTTCAGAGTCATGTTGATCGAACGAAGGAACTGAAGATTTGAAGATATTTGAAGCTATTTGAAGCATCTCCCACTGGGTATCCGGCCAACAGCACACCACCCAGGGCGACCAAACCTCCCCAACCTCGTTGGAATGCATAAACTGTTGGTGATTAGACTGGAACGAATTGGATGAACAACTTTTTCCCCCAAAAAGACGAAACATTTTGTAAATTCCAGATCTTTTCTTCAGATGTTCAGCATTGTTCCTCTCCCCCTAAGGCCTGTAATATCAACCAACTCGGTGGAAGTCACTGAGGCTAGGCACTGAGGAAGAAATCGTCTGTTTCAATGCCAGAATCGTCCTGGCAGCGGTGAAGGGATCTTTGGTCCACCAACATGTATGTATGGATGGATGGATGGATGTATGGATGCATGGATGGATGGATGTATGTATGCATGGATTGACGGATGGATGTATGGATGTATGTATCATGTCATGTAACATGTATATATATATATATAGACATATACATATACATACACATATCACATATCCAATCTTTCATAGGGATAATATGGTGCCATGTCCAATGTCCAGAGGATGGTGGATTTTTCGCCATCACCTCCCCCCCAGCCTCTGGACTCCTGACAGCGTTCAGAATGGGAAAGGTCCAAAGTACCACCAGCTGTTTAGAGATTCTCCAACAAAGGCAGATTCTTCAACCAACAAAAGTACCAAATAAATGAAGTCGGTCACTAAGAGAACATGATGACAACCAGCAATTCAATTCTCAGTTCCAACCCCAAAGCTTCAAGAATCTACGCACGAGACAGAAAAAAAGGTCGGATTGTTCTATGATGTTCTATGATGTTCAGGTTGGGTGTGCAGTTGTTCCCAATTCTTTTCCCAATTCTTCCCTGAGAGTTGTTCCACGGTCTGAGATCTTGCGCACCTCAGGTCTGGCAAGTTCCGGCTCTGAGGGTCGGCCTCAAACCTGCACGGAGTGCACAGCACCGAGATGCACCGAGGCACTGGTTCCATGGATCATATGAAGCTGGAACTGGAATTCATGCATGGAATTCCATGGAAAGCGGGATGCCGGAGCTCAAGCAAAACAAGCATTTCACAAGCTACCTTACGAGTCACCATTAGAGAAAGGCCACCAAGGTAGCAGCCCATCAGATCCTATCAGATCCTATCAGATCCTATCAGATCCGTTAGATCCTATCAGGATACCGTGTATCCCGTGTATATCTGCTTTGAAGCACATTGCGTCGCCTGTTGTAGGAGATATCCTCCACGCTGAACGTGACGCCCGGCACAGCTGTGCTGGTGTTGGGCCTCAGGATGAGAGATTTTTCAAGAGCGACCAAGACGTTCCAAGATGTTCATGAAAAGTGGCCAAGTTCATGCCCTTTCAGGCCCTTTCATTCTTTGTCATTTTATTCGAAACGTTCGATATTCTGATATATTCTGATATTCGTTGACTCATTTCCAATCTGAAAGGCCTTTGGACTCACTGAATTCGCTGCCATCTGTGCTAGGAACAGACTCAGCTCAGCACGACATCAAACTCAGTTAACTCTGAGACCCCGACGTACTGGTAGAGGAGTTCGTAGCTGGATTACTTTGGCCTCAGGTGATTAAGGTCCACATTTCTTTGCTTCAAAACCATTCTGAAACACGACTGAATTATGACATTTTGAGGTTGACGAAACATGAAGGAGTAGGATGCGTGTGAAAAGGAGTCTCTGAAAGCCTGCTGGGCGACTCCCAACCAATACCCAACACAAAATACATCAGGAACATGAAATTTTTGCTTTGTGTGCCATGTACAACACAAGAACCAAAGCCCCCAGAGCCCCCAGAGCCCCGCACCATCCTCCATTCACCGATGGCCAAAAACAGGGTGGCTATGCCGTCGCACAGGGCGGCCACAAAATCCAGGGACAATTAAGAAATACTGCAACAATTACTGCAAAAACTGCAACAGCTTGAGTGCAGCTTCAAGCTTCAACAGGCTTTTTTTGGGGGAAATTGTTTGGGGACAAAACTTGGACGGTCACTTTTCTGCTTGTATCTTCTGCGGGTCTCTGAAAAGATCGTATTTCCATATATTTCCTATTACAAGTTGGAGAGCTGGTGTAGTTCCATGCCCTTCTGCCTCAGGGTGACTTGCCTGTGATGGGGGAATCACTCAACTAAACTTTAAAACGTGCCAAGGAGCTGAGCTGAGATACTCTGCGATTTCACCAACGGGTAAAACACTAAAGCTAGGTCTTGTGAACTGACAAGGACAACATGTTCAACTTTGGAATGTGAGGTGGCTAAGAAGATAATAATTCTGGGGCTCGTGACTGATGTGGCTGATCTGGCTTGTTTGGTTGTGCCTTCTTCATACTCTTGAGCCAAGCTCGAATGGTGCGCGAGGAAGGCTTCAGGAAGGCTTCGTTTTCTGACATCCTGACATCTACGTGGTGAGCTGAAAAATGAGATGCGCAGAATTGCCTGCCGCAGAATCACAGAATTGGCATCTGCCCGGCATTCATCTGTCACACTGAGTCACACTGTGATAATTTGATTATCATCTGATCATCATCTGCCTTTTGGTAATTGGGGTTTTCGGCGGGGCACATCTGCCCTTGTCCACCGAGGTCATCGATGTCCACATCGTCGATGCCCAACTGTTTCGCCTGATCATCACTGATCCCACCAATCTTCAGGAGATTCCCAACTGCTCCCCGTTTCTGAACGGGATTTGGGTAAACCATTTGGGAAAACCTTGGGTCTACGGCGGCCCAGGGGCCACGGATGCTTTCGCCCGTTCGTTTTTCACGATGTCCAGGCAGTAGATGACCTGAGAAATTTGAAACTTGACATCTTTATCATCTTTGTCCGACTTTGTCCGACTTTGTCCTGAACATTTTTGAACAACATGCGTTGAAACACTTGACATCACTTGACATAACGCTGAAAAATGATCAGCCCCGCAAGCCATGCACAGTGTGTGAAATCCGTGGAATTCTTGCATCAGTTCGGGGGATGGTCGAACCGGAGTCAACAGTTTCTGGAATGTTTCCATATGTTTCCCATGTCCAGATATGTCCAGATATGTCCAGATATCCCCAGTGGAGATATCTTTTTGGAATGTTTCAGGCACCCCATCTCCTCTCAAACGCTGCACTGGAGCAATCGAGTGGCCTCTTGTGTGTCCAGCTCGCCATCGTGGTACATCTGCGAAAATGCCTGGGGCAGCTTCGTAGAGCGAAAAAAACGCAGCTGCAACGATTCTGCCACGATTCATCCTATTCTCATGTCTTGAGACCTTCCCAAAGTAGATCAAAGTATAGATGATGGATATGATATGATGCAGCTGCTCACCAAATCAGCCGCATTGCGCCTTCAAAAAGGTCTTCAGGGTGCGCACCATAAAAGGCTCCGTTACCTGCGTGTTGACATGGTTCCCGGGGGCCCGTCATTTTCAGAAAAATCCTGGGCAGCATGCTATCGCCATCTTGATGCCCACCTGGTGTACCCTTGCTAGCACTTTATAGCACTTTTCACTTGATTAAATTGTTTCCAATTCGAGATGTCCCTGACACATTAGTGATTCTAGTGGGTGCATTTCCCGTCTATATTCATCTTCGAGACTGTCTATGTCTCCCTCACCAAGCCGCTAGTTCGCATTCCAAGATCTCCGCGAGTATCTTCACGTACCTCGCTTGATAACAAACCATCAAACTTACGCACGCTCAAGGTATCTGTCGAGGTGACAGAAATCCAAGATTTGTGTTAGACTCAGAAGCATTCTCGTTGTGTCTGAAGACCCCGTCACTCATGTGGCGACCACAAAATGCTTTTGTACTATACACATATATATTATATTATTATATTATATTATATTATATTATATTATATATATCATATATATACACATATTATATATATATTATAAATATATTATAATATATAAATATATACACATTGTGAACAAATTGATCCTTGTTCTGGATGTAGTTATTGAGCTGTGATACCCGTTATGCTGGTAGCTTTGGACAGCGTTATGGCATTGCAAGCGGAGCTCGGACTTTTCCTCGCGCAGGGACTTGAGCCAGTACGGCGTTTCAATGCACAATCACATATGTACATGATAAGTGTCCTAGCGTTTAGTTCCCTTTGACACCCCCCATGCCCGTGGCATTCTTCGAGCCACGGACACGAGAGAGGGAACTTTGAATTAGATTTGTTCTGCTACTTGAATTACGCCTATTTACATAAAACGTGCCATTCGGATCCCCCTTCCCCACATACCCGTCGGGTATAATGGTTCAGGGTTCACCTACTCTTTGGCTGTCGATGCATCGGCGCTTCCTCAAGCTATACAACGCGAATTATTGCTAGCTAACATCTACTTTTCTACGTTGGCTAAGCATGCCACTCACCCGTCGGGAGAAATGGATCGCCTCGCTACCAAAGATTTGCAGTGCTAACTAACGAATTCACGTGCACAATGCAGAATCTCGTGCAGATTGGGAATATCAAAAGTCTTGAACCTAAGCGAATTAGTCTAATGCCTCGCTCAGTGTCCACTCAGTTGGTCTTTTCCTGATCATCTGTTCATAAAGACGGTAAACATCTTGTAGCCCAGTGATCATTTTGACGGATCGAAGCAATTGGTTTACTGCTCACGGCGGACTTTCTTCCATTGAGGTGCTGTTGGAGTTCTCTCCCATCCTGCCGCACGTTTCGGAGCAGCTTTCGGCGATGAAGGCTTTGCAGGCGGTGCCTTTGATGGTTCATGGGATTTCGGCATAGCCTTGCCCTTTGGTGCGCTAGCCGATGAGGATGATGCTGAACCAGTGCCTTCAGGTGTCTGTGAAGGTTGTGCGGGTGGTTTAGCAAACTTGGAAGCTGCAGTATGTCCAACCGCTTTGAATACTTCACTCACCACTTCGTCGCCAAGGGTTGGAGCCATCTTCGTTTTCATCTCGGTCTTTCCCCTCTGCGCCTCGGCCTCGGCCAGCTGAATAGCATAAGCCATCTTGCTGACAAAGTTTTGAGGTAAAGGAATGCCACATTGTTGGGCGGCAAAGAGCAGTTCTACTCTCTGTTCTTTCTCCCTCAGGCTCAGATATACCGAGAAAGCTGGGAGTTCGATGCAGTTGGGGAAGCCGTGGCTCCCGGAGCGAAAGAAGGTGTATGACTCGTGCTCCGGAAAGGTTCCTTTGAGCAGTCGTCGAAGGAAATTGCTGATGGTTACTCGCATCTCCTGTTTCCCTTGGGCATCAGCCTGCATTCGGTTCATTGGCATGAGAAAGCCTCATGACTCAGGAGTGTATCCGGCGCGTACCAGAAATTCCATCATCTTCTCATAGATCTCTAAAGTCTTGATGACCGGCATCATCATGTTTCTTGGTCGCCCTGAGTATAACTTCTCTCCTTCTGACCATGAATTCCTCTTCCCTTTCTCCTGAAAGAGTTCATCCAACTCCAGCTCCGTCGGGCGCTTGAGGTTGCCATCCTGGTCTTCTCCTGTATAAGGACAGAAGTCGTCCAGGTCCAGCCGGACTCGCTTGGTTTCCGTCATCATCTCATAGTACTTTTCTGGGGTCAGAGTGACTCTCTGTTTGTAGTAGAGCCTGAACATTGTGATGATCTTTGACATGACGGCATTGTCATACAAGTGAGCCGCGGCCTCGGAGACATCATTGTTGATAAGTCCGTCTTCTGGCATACCCTTGCTGCCGCTCTCGAGGTTCTTGGTCCATGCTGGAAGTTTGGAAGAGGGTTCATCTTCAGGTTCGACTTCCATTTCATCGTCGTCTTCTTCAACGATTTCGTCGTCTTCCTGTTGGGCTTCCTCCTCCTGATCCATTTCCTCATCATCGCCTTCGTTGTAGTCGACCTCGTCAGGATTGAAGCCATAGTCGTTGGATTCGGATACGTTTTCTTGTGCTTGATGGACCGTATCCTTGAACAACGATTCTTCTTGTCGACGAACTTCTTCATCGATCTCTTTCTTCGTGGCCTCATCTTCATCGTCTTCAGGAGCTTGTAGCCGATAGGGACGGATTCCACAACTTTCAAGTTCCGTCCAGCAAACTAGACACACTGCTAGTTTTGTCGGCGTCTCATTGAGACAGTGAGGACAATGGCGGCAACCTGATGTTTGCACCCTTTTGCGTTCGACTATGTAGTCAATCAGCTTGATGCGGGCCAGGTATTGTTCTTGTCCGCCAGGCTTGATGAGGTTGTTCTTGAATTGGTTGACGATGTTCATGGCATCCATGGCGGTTTCGTCAAACGGTTGATCTTCGGCGTCGATGCACTGACTTGCAACCCTCAAGATGGACTCCTTGGTGGCTACCGTTCTTGATTTGATAGTTCCAGACCGGACTACCTGGTCGTCGCCCGACGGGACGAACAACCGGAGCCATGTCTTATTGTTTTGGTCCTTTGGGTCCTGAATCCATCCTCCTTTGATTGCCGAGAACGGGATGATCTTTGGTGAGACGATCTGTCCCGAGTCAGTCAGTCGACCGCCATATTCCACCATCAAGGTCTCGGTCGGGAGGAACAAGCAAATGTAGTCCCCCTTTCGCGTATCAACACTCTTCGTGATGGTCCATGATCTGTGATCCCATGGCACATACGGGTTGAAGAACGTGAACATCCGATGACCTTCTCCAAGACCTTCTGGAATTAATCCCTGCCTCCAAATGCTTCGAAGGTTGGTCTTCTTGGTGATGTGGAAACAAACCGGTAACGATAAAATGGTGTTGGGCGCGATTGGATGTGAAAGTAATGAGGACAGCAACGAGACATCGCCCCTCGAAGATCCTTCCTTGTGCCCCGTAGGAGCACGAACCGCCACAGGGTAGAGCAGTAGACCTTCATCAGGAATGTTCGTGTCCGCATCGACTTTGTTGTCAATGCACGTCAGGCTGGTGCGCTCAATGTCCTTGTTGATACCAAATGCCAAGACTTGTTCACGAACGCGACGTCCATACCGGGCACAGTGGAACATGATCTTGAAGAGCAATGTCATGCGGTAGTTTGCCTCATCGACATTCCATGCATTCTGATCATTTGCTCTTCCTTTTGGAGCAAGGAATACATGTGGCCAGCGTGCGTACTCGTGCCTCCAGATGGACTCACATTTGAGCACCTCCTCGATGGGCACCCAGCCGGCGTCATCACATGACAGACTCTGTTGTTCTGATACCTTCCCCACGTTGTGCCGCAGGATCCTGTTTAGTGATGAACTCACCTTGTCCTCGTAGGTATTGAGCCGGTTGCCAGTCTCGAAGCGGTAGTTGGCCGCATATTCTACACCTCCAAAGTAAGAGCAGTTGAAGAAATGGGCCCCCGTAGTCGGGATGATTTTCAAGAAACCATCTTGCGGCGCCTCGACTCTCTTGTAGAAGGGCTTCCTGATGTTGTTATCAGAGTAGCTTGCCATGAAGTCTGGCACTGACCAAGAGTCACCTCCTCCTCTGACAATAGCGTCTCTGACCACTTCGTTGAGGTCAACAATGTTCTGTGGTCCTAGCTTTGTAACATCACGTCCTTCTATGCAGAATCTACCATACTCATCGAGGTCACCAACTTCAGACATAGTTCTGATGCTGTCGTACCATTGGTGTTCACTAAACCTCGATTTTGTAGGTTCATCCGTTTGCCCCGACCCATCAGTAGCACCTGAACCGTCCTTCTTGTGCTCAGGAGGCTCCATATCGACGTCATCAGATGTTGGACTATCAGCCTCGAGCGACGCTCGGACAGCCTTTAGCACCTTTCTGACTTCATCCCTCTTCTCATGTTCACATTCAAGATGGCCATGTTGGGTGCTACCACAATACAAGCACACGTTGACATCCTCAGAGACGGTGAAGAGTTTTCCCAACGCATCCAAAAGTTGCTGTTTCCCGGAATTCTCTGAGTCCCTGACCACATCGGTGGGGTCGTTCGCTGGCTCATCAGCTTCCTCCTCCCCAGGGTGAGCCGACGACTCGTCACCTAGCTTGGCATCGGCATCAGTGCCCATGCTGGCGTCACCCCCTGTGATGTTGTTCTTCCTGCGATAATGAGAGAATACCTGATCCTTCTCCCAGTCCGTGAGGCAGCAGAAATTGGCCAGCGAGTCATATCCGGGGATTGCGTGAACCCTTTCGGCTTCTGCAGTTTGCAGTGTGCAGTCGAAGGATCCCCGTCTCTTGTCATTGATGGTGCTCGAGGTTCGGGAGGTCGATGTGAATTGAGCCAGTGCCTTTTCCAGTCCATTGAGATACTCAGCTGGATCAACGCTAGCATTAAAAACATCCACGACTCCCTTGGCCATATTGGCCACGTCCAAGACACCAAGCCAGAACTCGATGATATCTCCAGTTTTCTCGGCAGATGCACGGGAGAATCCAAAAATCTCGTTCC